TAACAAAAGCGCATCCGAAAAGTAGAGATATGTTAATCAGATACAAATGTAAGTCACTAGGTTTAAAGAGAATATCTGCGCAATAAATTGTTTCATATTTTGACACTTGGACGTGCGAAGGTGTCAATTTTATTGGCCATAATTTGGCCATGATTTAGCCTAACTGTCAATCTACCACTGCCAATGCATTGTTTACTATAACATCCGTTAAACTAAATAAAAAAGTAAGTATATATCTCAATATGTCAATCAGCAATTTTTATTTCCGTATTCTATGTCATGCATTGTAATAATGAAACATAAAATGGCGGGGAGTTACCTTGTGGTGGTGTATTTCTTTATTCCAGCCAAACAAGGCAGTTCTTTAATATGTCTTACATTTCATACGAACAATTCACTAATCAAAAAGATACTTTTATTTATCTTGTTAAGATACAACACCTATTTTAGATAACATATTTAGAGGCAATAAAGTAATATGCAAAGTGAAATCCAACATATGACGATGACTTCCGCCAACATGTAAACGATCAGATCTACCATCATGCAAAAGACCCCTTTCCATGTAACGTGTAATAGTTTTCTTTAAAAATGTGCGTTCAACGCAAAACTGTTTTATACGTCGGTGTATCACAAACAATTACAGTTTGATAACCGCTACAATATTTTTTAACTTTATAAGGAAACATGGCTACCTATTTAGCGACCATGTGCACTCTGTAACAATGGCGTATTTATTTCAGAGATAGATGTAAATATAGTAAGCATTAATATTGACAACAACGAAAACCACCAGCTGACAATGACAAGACAGATTTACCTACCGAGATAAATTAATAACATAATTATACATTTGTAATTTATTCTGTCCACATTGACTCTCCAGATATATGAAAATGTGATTGGATTCATTTTATTTCGATTCAAAACGAAATCCTTGTTTTGGTTGGTAAATGAAAATGTTTCATTAGGATATATAACTTAACTTTTATATTAAAATAAAACGAAACAGCTAAATGGTATTTACAAATGATCGGTGCATTACGAAAGACAATAGAAGTCATTATACTATGCTTCGGCATACAGATTATGGCGTGCTTGTTGTGCTAATAATGACATATATATGGAGAACAGGCTTTTCATAGGACTCTCAGATATTTATTTCGGTGCTAGTTTCTATAATCAGGCCATTTTATTTACTTTTATTATAGACACTGTGTAACTTAACTTAAAAAAGAAATTTAAAGCAACTATTCGTATTCAACATTTTATTTATCTATAAATTCATATAGCATACTTTACTATTCCGATTCCAGCACATGCTTGACTGAAATTAAACTACTTATCATAATCGTAAGTAGTTATGATAGGAACTTTACAAAGTTCACCAAACGATTTTATGTCAAAAGTTCACGTAAGAAAGAACTTTACTTTCACGTGGCAATGCATATGTTGGCTAAATTCAGCAAGCTTTAGTCCGTCAGCTCTGTGTTGCTTGCTTACTTTACAACGGATTACACATTTCTTAATTGAGTTGAAAAAAGTTGTTTTGATATTTATTGTCAACCTCATTTTAGTTTTGGGCGTATTCTGATCTAAATTTAGACTGTCCATTTACTGTAAAGATCTTACTTCCTGACTTTCGTAAATTTACTTAGGAATTGCACTTTAGTATCTTGAAATGACTGCAGCATGAAAGTATCAAGAAACCAATGGGCAATAGTTTTGTAAAGCGATTGTTTATTCCCTGCGGTCTTCAGACCGCAGGGTATTGGTACGCGTTTAACTTTTGAGGCATGGAGGAGCACGTGACCTGTTTTCGGTACATGGAGGAGCATGTGATCTGTTTACCGTACCTGATTGGTTAATTGACCTTTTCGAAAACCTAGCTAAATACCGTTTGCCGGTACGTTACGGATTTACCTCTAGGGAATTAGTCCGAATTACACCTAATTAACAACAAAAAACTATTACGTGATATTTCTAATTTTCTATAATTATTTGACCGTTTAAGGTGGAAAAACTTGAATGATGTGTTTGAAAATTATCAATGTTTCTTTAATATCTATCTCAAATTTTACAAAAAATAAATGGTTTATACTGAAAATCTACAAAATTAAAATATTCGTAGTGGCATCTGCCATACTAAATAGAGATATTTTCTGCATAAACTTGTGTGTTTACTTTATTTCTTTTTTGCCCGGAATTATTCAGAAAATGGTATTTAATCATTTTCTTAAAAATAAATAATTGTTTTATGTATGACCTTCTCCGGTCTTCATGCAACGGTCACCAGTTTCTTAAGACCTTCTTCTATATTGATCGATTATTGTCAACTATCTTCCTGATACAAACGTTTATTTATCCCCCCCCCCCCCCAAACAATGTTGAAAATAGTTAAATGAAATATCTTTATATCATTTAAAATGTTCCCCGCAGGAAACCATTTTACTTGTACTGTACTTAATTGTTTTTGAATTAAGTTTAAGATGTCATGGAAATATTCCGGCATTTGGCAAGTCATTGTGTGGTGCGGGGTTTAACCCATTACTTCATGAGCATTTTGTGAAAAATGGCTGATTTCATTGAAAAGTCTCCCGTTACAAGTTCAAATTGCTATAAAACTATAAAAACTGCTTCAATACTAATCAAACAGAAGGGGGCACACCCCCCTTCTGGCATCCCACGAATGTATTCATCTGTGGACAAAATACATGTGACACGGTATATTACATGTACATATAACTTTTCTTCTAAACACGATTGCTATTAATTACTCATAAAATTGCAACTGTAAAAACATATCAGATATACATGTACATTTCGGATAGACATTGGGAAACGCCGCCACAACTAAATTTCAAACACAAGTATAAAAACTTTACGTTTTCTGTAAACTTTAATAAAATCTACATCGCATAGCACTTTCCGATTTTTGATATTTGGCGTAGAATTTACAAAATGTATATAAAAAAAAGAAAACACTTGGCTCCTGATTTTAGCGACATGCACTAGCTCGGAAGTAGCGATAGAGCGATTTACCGTATACATGTACCTCCGAAAGAGGTAGCTCTATCATTTATCATCATGCGGCCATGCAGCGCAGCTGACCATAACTTGTTTAAGGCCAACCGAAGTAACATTCTTGTAAAGTTTCATCACTATTGGCCAAGTGACTATGAAGATGTCATTTAAAGCTCATTTCTAATTGTTGATCTGGTGGCCATCTTGTTCACAGACAGGAACCTTTTAGCAAGTTTTAAAAAGGACTTACTTAAATCAATACTACACAGTTTCATCAAAATCTACAAATGCAAAATAGAATCATTTCAGATTTTTAAAGATGACCTCCCAGGAATCATTACTATAAAATTTCATCACAAATGACCAAGCTGTTTTAAGCCACTGATGCCAGGGGTATTCACAATAGCTCATCTTGAACATTTGAGCTCAGGCCAGCTGAAAGTTAAAACTTTTGTAGAATTCCTCTAAACAATGTTTCTAAACTTCAGCCATTGTAGTTTCTAACAATATATTTAAGTGTTTATAAATATTTATAATTCTATGTAAACTAAGAGATCCTTGGCATGATTTAAATAACTTAAAAAGACAACATTACAGGGTTGCCAGCACCACAGATAAATAAAATTCCCTGACTTTTCCCTGACCAAAACTACCGAACTTAAACCGCCTCCACCTCCCCTACAGCTGTCCAATCCTCCCATACTCAGATTGTCAAAAGTCATGTTAAATGAAATACAAATATAAAACTACAATGTATAACAGCATACAGCAAAAGCTATGTAAAAATAATGAGTAGCTCATTATTAGGTTCGGTCAAATTCATACATCCAATACATGTACATCACTAGGACTTTTCAAACCTTCAATTTCTTTTCAAGATGTTTCACAATTTTCATTTCTGTATCTAGCTCTTTTCTTTTCCAAGACTTCTCCCTCAGTGCATATGACTTGACTAGTAACTCAAGACTGCCATAGCGAAAAAGAATTAAAAGAAACAATAACTGTCTGAGGACAGTAACGCTCGACTATTCAAAAAGTTGTCACAAGGGTGTTTCATTAAGTAATGAATGCTTAATGCTTACCTATATGAAAACATAAAATTGTCCGAAAAGATACAAAGGCTTGTTATTAAGATGTTTTATCGAGTAAATCACTGCTTTTTTATTATGAATGCATAAAATTGCCCCAAAAAAGGCACAATTTACCTTTCAGTAGCTTACACACAAAAACTTAACCAAGAATTTCTAAGTCGAAAAAGGGGCATAATTATGCAAAAAAGCAAATCAGAGTTATGGGACTTGTGCCAATTATCTTACATAATCACAGAGAACAAGTGTGTGAAGTTTCAATCCATTCCCTTCAGTAGTTATGGAGATACCAGCTTACACGCAAAAACTTAACCACAGGGACACCAACAAATGGGTGACTGCATTAGCTAGATTATTCTGTGAATAGTCGAGCTAAGAATTGTATCCTTCAAAATTATTTTTCCCTAACTTTTTAGGATTTTTAATTTTCACGGACCAATTTTCAAAATTCCCTGACAATACCCCCCCCCCCCCGACCTTGAAAAAATATCAGATTTCCCTGACTTCAAGTTCACTGGCAACCCTGAACAAATATTCTACATGCCTGTATTAAAGATTTAATCTTAAAATATACTGTTAACAAACTTTACATCTATCATCTTTTTCAGCATATAACTTTTATAGATGTGGAGTTTTTTTCAAATCTACAAAGTGATCTATAAGGAAAGGTTGATGACATAAATTGTGGATGACTGGGGACGAGAATATTGCATGTCCCAAATCTGAGATGAGCTAAATAATTAAATAATTTAGCAGTTTTAGCTTGTGTAAAGCATATTTTTGTACAGTATCAAACAATTCTAACTTCATTGTACTTATTATAAGTAAGTGTGCCTAGGTTGTTGTATAAAATACATGTAGGTTTAAAATGAAAAGAAAAGTTACTGGTGGTATTATATCAATAATTTATTCATATCAAAAGACAAAAATGTTTAGTCTTATTACCTAATGCAACAATAAATTGTAACCAAGCCCATCGATCCTTGGGTAAGTACAGAGATAATGGTAAATACCAAGTTTTTTAATCTTAAAATGTTTGTGTCCACAATGCCAGGTCATAATGCAGTGGTTTTGATCTGAACCAAAATGGCTGCTATACATCCAAATCTTAGTAAGGGGCTTAAACTGAGTTTTATTTTCTGTTTCCTCAAAAGGGCCATGGTTACATCATTCAATTTTTACATCAGAACAACCGAAATTGAAATAAAATTATTTGAAAAAATTATGGATTGGTAAACAGGCTGTTAAATCTAGTTAAAACTAATGTGAATTTTGTAAACAGATAATATAGAATAATCCTAGAATTCCTTCAAGTAATGAAGGTCATTTGATTGAAGTCAGTTAATGTTGAATAATGTTATAAATGTATTAATAATAGCCAAATTCAAGGCTAGTGGTGACATGATCACTAGGTCAATGTATAGTTTTATCTCTAATCATGATTTTCATCATGTACGTCTATAAATAGGAATTTCAAACCAGATCATGACCATTTCTAACCTATTTTCATCTGATAAATAGACATTGTTCCAACAACAAGTTAGTACAAAATTACATGTATAAATACTAGTCTGACTTCAAAACAACTTATGTTAGGGTGAAAGTAGAATATAAATGAGCAAACAGGACAAAATATGTGAATGTACAGATTAAAGCTTCACGTTTCTAAATGAATTAACAAAGTTTTGAACAATCAATATGAAAATAAATAGATATTGAAAGTTTCTAAAATGTTTGACTTTTCCAAAATCCTTAGGTAATTCAAGCACATTTTATGACATGCTTGTTTGTTTTACATTATCAGTTAAAATATCTAAACTATATAAACAACTTCATGAATAATCTTACTAATTATCATGAGTGTAGAAGCATGCTGCTTTATAGAAAAATTCACAATATCATCAAAGTAAAATGATTTTATTTTTACATAACATATAAATGTTAACACAAACTGGACACATCAAAGAAGAGCACCACCTCCGGACCACTCCAGTCTCTGTAAAGTAAATAAAACAGACAACTTATGACATGTTGAAACATCTTATAAACCCTAAGGGTTTTGCACTAATTTGAATACTGCCAGTTCTGACAGAATACTGAGCAAAAATTTATTGACTAATAAAATAAAACAGTTGTTAGATCTCATTATTTTTAACCAAATTTATCTAGTTTTCTCAAAAAGCAAATTTGAATGTGGTTTTTGGCATTTCATTATCTTTTAATCTGAAAAATAAAGGAAAATATGAAGTGACCAACTGATTGTGGCAAAATGTTGGTAATTACATATAGAATTGTGATTTTCATTGACCTGAAGAATGTCTTACACCTGTATCTGAAGGTTTATACATGGAAACCTAGTTTCTCAATCTACAAATCAGTTGAAGAGAAACAAAGAAAAATTTCAATCTAAGAATCATAATAATATTCTAAAAAAAGAGACGATCTTGATCACCTAAAGCAATTAAACAAAAAGGTATGTGAAAATTACACACACACCTAAAAAAGTAGGTATCAACATTTTCCAGAGTATTAAGTTATAAAAGTATATATGACTGATATTAAACTATTCATAGATATCATTAAGTTAACAAACTTGCCCTTGTCATATAAGTTGTAAATGATCATTCATTTATTCACAGCTGGCATACATATGAGCTGTGTCACGACAAAACCAACATAATGGGTTTGCGACCAGCATGGATCCAGACCAGCCTGCACATCCTCGCAGTCTGATCAGAATCCATGCTGTTCGCTTACCAACTCTATAACAAGTAGAGAAAATGATAGCGAACAGCATGGATCCTGATCACAATGCGCGGATGCGCAGGCTGGTCTGGATCCATGCTGGTCGCAAACGCACTATGTTGGTTTTGTCATGACGCGGCTCATATAATGATATTGTAGTTGAAGGGAAGCAACTGTTACATATTCCTTTTGCTTGGTCATTCATTCTTCCATTTGATGAATCAATTGAATTTGATATACTACTTTATCATGCAACTGCTATGGTAACCGCCAGGTAATACTTGCCTGATTATTATTTTTGATATCAGGTCTGAGTAAACCAATGAAGAATGTTGTTCAGTGTAGCCAAACTATCAATTTACAAATTTTACACGTCTAGGTAAGCAACTCTCTGATTGTCAAATAATAGTCAGCTGCCTAACATATTGGCAGGTACAACTCTCCACTCATGCAATAATTGGTCATGACTTAATACTTTTACAGGGAAGTTGAATTTTCTTTGATGAAAAGAAGATACAAAATGGAAAATTTGTCCCAACGCAATCAAAGTGAGACCTGTACAGTATTTTTTATCATATATTGACAAGAGCTGTCTATAGGACAATGTGCTCTACTCTTCTGAGTGCTTGACAGTTGAACAAGAGCTTGAATAATGTAGAATTTTCTACGTTCTTCTACGTTCTCTAAGTTCAAAACGGTCCTTAATTCTGCCAAAATCCACGTTAGAGTTATTGACATTGGACAAAGCCCTCCTATTATGCTCTCAAATAAGTGTGTTAAGTTTCAACCCATTCCCTTCAAATGTTATAGAGATGTTAGCATGCATATAAAAACTTAACCAAGAATTTGTAGGTAGTGAAAAGGGCATAAATATGCAATAGAGCAAATCAGAATTATGGGAATTGTGCCAATCAAATTAGATAATCACATAGAGCAAGCATGTGAAGTTTCACCCAAATACTTTCAGTTGTTTTGGAAAAACCAACTTGAATGCAAAAACATAACCAAAGTGTGACGTCGAACCGATGCCTGGGCAAGTACAACAGTTTTCCCAATTCTTGGAACTCAAGCTAAAAACTTAAAGTTAGTTAACATATTGGCAATTTGAATACAGGGTATAGTAAAGCCCTCAAAACTTTTGCCCATAAAATGAGCTTGATACAGGAGTCCAAATTTCTATTTACAGTCCTTCAACTGTAACTTACAATAGTTCTACTGTAGTTATTGAGTCTAAATTGGAAATTCACGGACTTTCATATTTGACCTCAAAATCACGTGTGAAGCTTAAGTGAACACTTTAAGTGGTATTAAAGATAAAACTTAAACCAGAAATTTTCTTGCACTTGAAACTATAACTACATTTTTGAAGTTCACAAAGGACCATGATTAATTCAGATTACATGCCAAAGTTCTGGGTCTTGGAAAGGGAACAATTTTGATTAAAAAAAACCACAAATCAATCAAAATTCATGGAAGAATGATGGGCGTTGGTCAACAGCTTCCAACAATGAACCTGAAAACATTTTTAATAGTTTCTAGTGAATACTTGAAGAATGACCATACTCATAAAATTTAAGCAAGAAGTTAGGAATTTTGGACAGAGAACTCTGATTATGATTTCATGCAAAATTTAACATCTTCAATCATGTCAATGGTAGATGAAATGGAATGTTATACAAGTTGCATGTAAAACTACAACCAAAGTGATACACTAACACATGGGTGAGTAGCATAGCACTGCTTAAAGTTACAAAGTTTAATTAAATTTCAAACATACCCTTTGTGCTTCTACAAATGCCAGCCAATCAGATGGTGTTGTAGGTAATAAGCCCATGGTTTGACATTTATATACAGCCAATGCAAGACATACAACATTTCCAAACATATAGACAAACTTTTGTAAAACATGCTGTGGGCCCTCTATCATCTTGAATGCAGCTGAAGAAGGAAAAAATAGACAGTGATAAATAACAAATTGTGAAAAATAAATTTTGAAAGAAATAATGATGCTAAAGGGATATTTTAAAAGAAGACTGATGAATGACAATAGATTTTATCCTTAAATCTCACCTGAATCTGCAGGACTTTTAAATACAAGTCAACTAGAATATGCTACATGTATTAAATAACTTATACAAGATTTAAATGTGTTTTCCTATGTTTGTCTATATAAAACAAGGCAGTCTGAAGGACTAAGCTAAATCCCCTTCCGCAGTGAACATGAATGTGTACTTCTTGACCTTTTACCAACCTTAATGTTGTGTCATGCATATCATAAGCACATAGTCTCTTGATGATAATGATTTTTTGTGCCAAGTTATTTAAGATCTTCCATAAAGTCAAAAAGTTATGGAGAACATATAACCTTGACCTTGGGTGTAGCAACCTGGATGTTGAGTTCTGCAGATTGTGTCATGGTGTGGATCATTTGTGCCCAGTAATTTTAAAACCTTTGAATTATCAAAAAGTTATAGAGCTAACATGAAAAATAGACGTTTTTACATTGGACCTTTGAGTGTGACCCTGACCGTTAGGGTTGTGACTTGGTTATTGTGCTTTGCCAGTGGTATGATAATGGTGACCATTTCTGCCAAGTTATTTTAAAACATTGCAGCAGTTTAAATGTTTTGGACAGACACTAAATTTAGTCTTTATAACATTTGACCTGTAAGTGTGACCTTGACCTTGGGGGTAGCAATTCAATTATTGCACTCTGCACATCGTCTCATAATAATGATCACTTGTGCCAAGTTATTTCAAAAAAATTTCAGCGGTTAAAAGTTATGGTACGGACACGAAAGTGTTTCGGACGGACAGACAGAGGCCATTCCTATAATCCCCTTTCGGCTATGCGGAAGGGGATTAATAAGTGGCCAAAGACAGGACCATTTTTGATCTGGGTTGGGGATGGGTGGTCGGATGGGCATTTATATAACTGTTGTAAGACCAAAAGCTGATGCTACATGCCAAATTGTGTAATACTTTTGCTCTGGGCACTCCAGTTTTGGAGGGAAAAAAATCTATGTTTATATGTTTACAATTAAGACTACGATTATTTGTATGAAAAAATATTGTATCTGAATTATCCTTAAGATATTCAATGAAACCCCAGGGCAAGGATTTTTTTACCCTAAGAGCATGATTCACACTACTTTTCTATTGGCCTACATTCTTCTTCGATTAAAATATATACAATGAAGTTCCTTGTTGACTGAATTATATGTGACATATGTGATGATATCCTGTACGAAATTTTCTGCACGGAAATGAGGCGGAATTCAATGGCAGATTCCGCCCAGAAATTTAAATTCTCCCCCAAATATACAAGTGTTAAACCATTTGCTTTTGGCACGGATTCCGGCCGGATTCCAGGCGGAAACGGGACGGATTCTGGGCGGAATTGAGACGAAATATGCAAATGAGTTGGGGCGGAATTTTGAAGCGGAATCTTGGGGCGGAATTTTGAAGCGGAATCTTGGGGCGGAATTTTGAAGCGGAATCTCGGGGCGGAATTTCGGAACGTAATTTTGGAACGGAATTGTCGAACAAAATTCTGAGCGGAATTCTGGGACAGAATTCATGGGGGCGCAATTTTTATGAGTTTAACATGATCACATTTTTTGGGGATAAAATTATCAATAATGTATCACATTAAATTTTCTTTCACAAAATTTAATACATATCCTTTAGTCCAAATACAGAATAGAATACCATACATTCACTATAACACAAACAGTTTTTTTCTACCTGCAGGTTTTGGTAGGAACTGGTTTTCTTAGAATCCAACACTTTGTTTTTTTGCAATTTTTTTGCTGAGTGTTTCAATCATAAATTTGTTTCAAATGTTTCTGATTATTTAAATTACTATTTCTTTAATTGATGTCTGTTTTAAGTCCACTGCCTGTGTTTCCAAGAACTTCTTGTGGTTGTGCTCACCTTTAATAATAAAATTAATAATTAATTAAACAAAAATGTAGTAATGAATTATGTTTGATTGCATAATTATATGCAGTTATATTTCATTTTTTTTGATAATATCAAATTTTATGTTTCAACAGTATCAAATATTAACAGTGCTTATGCATATTCAAAGATACTAAAGCTTACGCAGTATTATCTTATTTCAGTGCACAAGTGTTTAAGAATTGCTCTGTGTAAGAATTAATGAACTGCTTTATTTGTGACACTATTTATTGCTGGTTATGTATTTTTTCAAGGAAAGATGTTGAATAGTAAAGTATTGAGATTAAAAAATATACCTTTTCAGGATTAATACTGCACATCTTTATTGAAACACCTTGCATCTCACAGTCAGCACTTAACTCCCAGTCTGAAAATATGAGTGTAAAATGTAATTTTAGATTGTTCCATTGGAAACACAACACATACATGTTAAATAATAAATGATTATGATGACCCTGTTCAGCTGTACAAAACTTCTGAATTTGTACCATTTATTCCTATTTAATCAAATTGACTTAATTTGTTTAATTTCCAGGAAATGAAAAAGATCTACTACATGCTATTAATTTATACAATACACACAATCATTATATAGAATCATTGAATAATTTATATTTTACAGTCATTAAACATGTAATAAAGATTTAAAACAATTATCAGAAAAAAACAAATGTATGAAGTTGAAAATATAAAAACAACATTGACCTCTTGTTACAAATTTTAGTTTGCTACCATTGATAGTTTGATATAAAACTTGTTTCAGCATTAATGTAACTAAAGGTTTATAATTACCTGATTATGTTGTTCATCTCCTTGTCCCATGTTTTCACACTTATTTATCATACCAATACTAAAACACTTTGAGATCTTAAACAAAAGTATATCTCCAAAATTGTTAAAATATCAAGTACATCCTCTGTTATTTGCACTCTTTTTGCTGACCCAGATATCTTAGAATTCAAAATTCACAACTGTATAACTGCATGGACAGGTCAATCATTATGTAAAACAGGGTTAATTTACTCATCATCTCATTTTTTTTACCTCCATTCATTGAATGTAACAAAAATTCAAGTAACAAATAGATATATATATAGAATTTAAAAATCATTACAAATTTCTGAACAAAAAAAAAAATTGCAATGTCCTAGACAAATTCTGCATATGAAATTTATAATGTTATCTCTCCCCAAAATAATTCAATGGAACAGCCTGATCTGTTGGAATGACCAGTGGAGTAAATTAGTCATGCAAAGAGTTTAAGATGGTGGGAAACTGCTGGTCAGTTGAGTTTTATCAGAGCTCTGATCTGTGTAGTGTAAAATCTCAGTGGATATATATTGTAGTATTTATTTACCTAAATGAAAGCAATTATTGGGCATATTGGCTGATCAATTCTGTATAGATTAAAAGGGCATACTATATGAGATTATTTCATGCAATGTTTTTGTTTTGTTTTTGTTTATTTTTTTATAACAAAATCATGATTTCTTAGAGTTTAAAATGGCAAGCACACTATCTTGTCCTGTGGCTGTCCTGATATTCAAATTTAAACAGCATTCTTATTTCAATGTTGCTTTTTATAAACTTAAGCATTTTGGAGGTGAATGTTTTCAAGTTCTACACTAAGATTATTACAGTTGTTTTTCAGTACAAAAAAGATTTGCTAAATTAGTCTGACAATATATCATTTGCCACAATATTTAAACATTGTATAGGCATATTTTAATGTCTAAAAAATAACCCTATTTATTCTAAAAATACATCTGTAATTATTGGTCAAGTATCATGCTTCAACAAAAATAATAAGTACAGTTGGTAAAATTTCAATGTCTGCAAGTGCAAAAACAAGAGTTAACAATTATGATTTAGACATCTTATATGTGAAATTCTGTTCAAGAAAAATGTTTAAGTATAGAATTCCGCCCATAGTGAAGACCATTCCTTCCCAAGAAAATTTCAAAGTTGAAAATTCTGTCCAAGATGAAATGTTTAAGTATAAATTCTGCTCCAAATAAAATTCCAGCCGGAATTTTTCTAGTTTTCCGCCCAGAAAAGTGAACAAAATATTTTTATTGTGAGACGGAATGATACAGGAAATTGCGTTTCCGTTCCTGGTCCGCCCAGAAATCACTGATTCCGTGTCAATTCCGTGCCAATTCCGCCCAGAATCCGTGCCAAAATTTCGTACAGGATGTAACATTTCAAACCATACAATTTTGGATTGGTCATAAATACACCTGCAATACATGTTCATGTTTTTGCTATTATAATTCATATGTTATGCACATTGTACAGTATAGAGTAGGATGCCCTCAACCTATATACATGTATACCTATTGACCAGGAAATGAACAAATGTTATACAAACTAGAAATGTCTTCACGGGTGCCCCCACACTCCACTGTTTTGTCAATCTTATAGTTTCGGAGTTATGTCCCAGGTAAAATTCAAAGTGTAAAATGAAACAAAGGGCAATAAGTCCAAAATTAGACAAGGCTGTGTTTAGGTTATTTAGCATTGCAGTTCTATCCAATGAGATCTATCTACCTACAAAGTTTCATGTTGATATCTCAAAAGTGAACAAGAGGGCCATGATGGCCCTGAGGTCGCTCACCTGTATATAGGCCCCCGGAGCGGGGCCAGTTTAAACCCCAGGGCTTTTATTTGAACAAACTTGGAAGACACTCATTAGAAGATGTTTCACAATGTTAAGTTTTTACTACACACATGTAATGAAAAACAATGATCTCCCATTAGAAGATGTTTCATGCTGAAAATCTTAGCTCTAGCTCTTTGGGTTCTTTAAAAGAAGATTTTTTAAGTTTTTACTATATGCATATAGGGAAAATCAATGACCCCCTGGGGCGGGGCCAACGTTGACCCCAGGGATTTTATTTGAACAAACTTAGTAGACACTCACTAGAAGATGTTTCATGCCAAATATCTAAACTCTAGCTATTTAGGTTTTTTCA